CCACAGTCGCAGCATTTGAGACGGCTCGGGGAAGAAGGTGAGCTGTCGGACTCCATAGATTGATGATGGTAACCGTAACACACATCTACCACGGCTTCAAGCCAGAGCAGGTGAGGATGTGAAGTAATTATCAAACCCTTTTAACCGTTTCTCGATATATCTATTATTTTCGAAGAATTCCTTGATGAGATTCGGCAAAAATCAAAAAGCTCCAACACCAACACACCTCCGCCTTCAATGAAACAGTAAAAAGAATTTTCCCTTCCCTTCGGGTTATGTGTGATTGTTTGTTTTTTTCTTCTCCTTCTACAATCTCTGCTTTTCAGATCAAAATCCAGAGCCCACAAATTCCTATCCAAAACAAACAAAAACTAAAATATAAGAAATGCCATCAACGAAGCCCTTTACAATTATTGCTCGGGGACAAAATTAGCTCCGACCAAGCTACCTCGAATCTCGGACGGTAAGGGTTGGAAATAACAAGACGTACCTGAGACCCTTTTTCCCCGGGAAAATGTTATCCGGCGGAGAAACCGCTGGTTTTTCGGCTGCAGATTTTGATCCGTCGAACGAGAATAAATTTTCTCAGGGCAAATGGAGATTGAAGGGAAAAAAAAAAACACGAGGGAAAGGGAAATGAAATTTTTTGGGGGATTTGAAACCCTAGCTCGGCCTTTCTTTTTTTTTTTTTGATTTTTGTTTTTTGATGAGATATGCTTCGTTCTTCGTGAAAACTGTTTTGCTGTTGTTTTTAGAGAGAGAGGCGATTTTTAGAGAGAGGAGGGAGAGTGGGGAGCTGAGGAGAGAGAAGGGGTGGAGGGGTAATTTGGTAATTATTCGATGTGACTGTTGACCTGTCGCCTGTCGGGGTTTTATTGGGAAGCGAGTTGTCTTTTATTTTACCTTTTTTCGAAAAATGTGCTTCAAAGTTGAAACAAAATTTCCAATTTGGGTTGGGGAGTTATATAAAATGGATATACACTACATGGAATCTAGATATTAGTGAATGCAATTCAATTCTAACTTGTGAAAAATCAAATTCGATTCGTTTGTATATTTAAGTGAATCGAGCTCATACGTGATTTGTTTAATAAATAACTCGATGGGAGCTAGAGTTAGTTAAACGAAATGAGTCGTTCGTGAGTTCGGATCAACTCGTTATGATTCGAGTTCGGCTCAACTCGTTCGATAAAGAACGGAGATTGTGCTCACTTAAAACTCTTTTCGTTAACGAGTCGAGCTCGGCTCTGCTCGTTAAAGCTCGAAAGAAAATTTTATATAATTTTTTATAGTTTGGTTAATTAAAACTCGAAATCGGCTTAAACTCGGCTCGTTAATATTGATAAACGGGTTGAGCTCGAGCTTGATTTTTGGCTCGTTTACGTAACGAGTTGAGCTCGACTCATTAAGGACTCGAGCTCAAGCTCCCTTCAAACTTCAACCTTAGATCACCGACGACCCAGTGATGAATTTAATTTAAGAAAATTTATCATGTACTATTGGGTAGTTTTGTCTAATAGTTAAAGTTGTATGGCCATACTCATTGAACAATTAAAATTACGTTAAAATGTTTATGTGCTACCACCGCAATCCTCGGCGGATTCCGATCAGGTGGTGTGGGGTTATACGTCGCATGGAAGGTTCACGGCACAATCGGCTTACTTGGCCTTGACAACGCCCACCTCTGTTCTGCTCAGCCGCTGTGGAAGGCCGTTTGGAGGGCCCGGCAGCTCAACGGGTACGACACTTTTTGTGGCTAGCGGCCCGGGACCGGCTCTTCACGAACAGTGAACGGTTGCGACGTCATATGGCTGACGACTGGGCGTGCTCTTTTTGTGAGCAGCCGGAGTCGATGGTGCACGTCTTACGCAATTGCCTGCCCGCGCGTGGGCTGTGGAATCTCTTGCTTCCCAGCACTAGTCGTGGTGAGTTTTTCTTGCATGACTTATGTGGGTGGCTATGGTCTAATTTGTCGGGATCCCGCCTTGTTGGGTTGGATGAATGGGCGACCATCTTTTCCATTGCATGTTGGCAAATTTGGTTTTGGAGAAATAAAGTCGTTTTCTCGCAAGCGGTTGTTCCACTAGAGGCTAAGATTCAGGATGTCCGAAGACGTGTGGAGTGGTACCGGGACGCCACGTCATGCGTGGCCTTGTCGGGTGTTCGAGACTGTCTGTACGAGTCGATAATGGTACACTGGACAGCTCCCCCGTCGGATTGGATTAAAATCAATTCAGACGGTGCTCTGTGTTCTGCTTCTGGTCGAGGAAGTGCTGGCGGTCTCGCACGGGATTCCTCCGGCCGATGGCTGGGTGGCTTCCTCATGAACGTTGGTTTTTGTATTATTACAGGGGCTGAGCTATGGGTCTATTTCATGGTCTTCTTTTGGCTTGGGAGTTAGGCGCGCGGCAGGTACTCGTGGAAGTGGATAGTAAAAGCGTTGTATCTATGGTCCAAGGGACTGAGGAGAATTTCGGTTTCCACGGTCATATTATTCGGGCTATTCGAGAGTTAATCCAGCAGGACTGGGTGGTTCGTGTATCCCATATTCACAGGGAAGGGAATTTCTCGGCTGACACTTTAGCTACGCTCGTTGCTGATGTTCCGGTGGGCTATCATCGTCTTCTGAACCCGCCCAAGGAGCTCGGGCATTGGCTAATGCATGATATTGTCGGCGTGGCTTATTCCCGCCGTGTTCCGCTCTAGCGTTCTTTAGGTTTGTCCTCCTCTCTTGTACCAAAAAGAAAAATAAAAATAAAAATAAAAATAATATTACCATGATCCCTATATAAATGCATAGTTTTTGGAATCTAATTGTTTAACTTTTTGTGTTTTTGTCATAAATATTCAATTTGCAATTGAAAAGAAGTTATATACTACAAACGAAAAAGCGCTCGAGGACCACTTCTTAATTTGAATTCCTACATTTTTCGCAGACGTGTATAGAATGTAGATTAATTAGTGGGTTGAACAGTTGAACTTGAATCTTATCCAACCCTACACGAAGTGACTTTGATGTTAGATTATTAGTGGTAGGGCTTGATTTTCCTAAAACTTAATTGATAAGTTATCCACTAATTATTACAATAATCATCATTAGTTTAATTGATAAGATTTAGAGTGGGTGCAAATAGTAAATTGCCCTCGTGTACAACATTTTTGATATAGCCATACATAAGGAACCGAGAAATAACCCAAGTATGATCAAGTCGAGGTGCGATCTAAGGACCGAGAGTAAGTCGAGGAGTTACCCAAAGACCGAGAGTAGGTCGAGGTCGGCTTCATGAATAAAGATTTGAGGCTACCTATGTTACCTAGACAAGCATATATAATTGCGATCTACGACATTGGGATGTTATGTCGCGAACCAAGGAACTCGGTCCTAAGTCTCAAGGAGCATAACGATGACTCAACGCATTCTCACTTATATACGGTGCGACTTATGGAAAAATTAACCTAACAACTATGATCAAATAGAGACTAACTAACTCAGTCAATAGATGAAACAGAATCTTAAGGAGATAAGAAAAAATTTAATGATGACTCATAGGCAACTAGGACGAATAAGATCAAATTGCGGCCAGTCGGGCAGGCTAACCGCAAACAACTCAGACAGACCAGGTCGTGCAAGTATTCTCTTATAAAAAAGGAATGAGGTGCAACCACAAATCTTCTTCTACATTCTACATACTCTATGCCTTTAATTCTCTAGATTAGGGAGCTTTGCCTTCTTTCTTGTGTTGACTAAGCATCAGAGGCTCTGTGTCGGAATCTCCTATAGCGTTGCGTTTTTGGAGGTCTACGCGCAGCGGTTCTCGTGGATCAAAGTCAATCTCAGTCGGTTCTACCTAGACCAGGTAGCGACCCATTTTCAACCAACTATTGTGTAATTTGGTTGTTGGAGGATATATGAACTCATGGAATGCGACTCAAGGGCTAAACATTAATTAGTTAATCAAGCGTTTTGATGTGCATGGAATATCGATCCATCGAATTTCGGTCTAGCAACTTCGTTTCGAACGTATCAAATCATTGATTGGATTGATCCTGCAAAACAATGTCTGAGGAGACCCCGATATAAACATTCAAAACAATGTTCTAGAAATCTTAGTCGAACCTCACGTTGATTTAAATACTTAATTCTAGAAATCTCAGTCGAAACTCACGTTGATTTAAATGGAACCTGTGTATATAAAAAGAAAAAGAAACAAACCTAAAAGTATTTTTATGATTAAAACATCTCGAATGCTTTTTGATAAAATCGTTTCATAATTATGAGAAATTTATCTTAACTTGTTTAATAGTGGTGCATTTTTCTTCTAAATCTATCAACACTCGAGCCTCCTGAAGGGCTGATGAATATGAATATTACCTTCCCTCTTATGATGATCCTTATAATCTATATATATATATAATTGCTAGCATATAGCATTTAATTTTACGTATTTAATAAAATCTCTAACATGTTCCCTCCATTTCCGGTTACAAAAATTATCATTAATATTTTTTATTTCTCACATTAATACATCATAATGAGTATAATCATGTATTTTTCTATTATATTATATAATAGTTATTGCTAATACCAACTAATAATAATTCACAATAAATATAAATTACATAATTAAGAACAATTGTTTTAAGTTATTTATTTTAACATCAATATTATCCTTTTCTTTTGTATCTCATGGAAAAATTTCCTAAAAAACAATTAGTAAATTATTTTAATAGCATAGTCAGACAACTTTAAAATTTTATAAACAATTGTTTTAATAATAGTAATAATAATAATAATAATAATAATAATAATAATA